TATCTTTCTGAGGTGTTGGATGTTGTGGAACAGGAGCTACAGACAGCCGTGAGCTGCCTGTGGCTGTTGGGAATTGAACCTGGGTTCCTCTAGAAGAGTAGCCAGTGCTTTTAACCTCTGAGCCAACTCTCCATCTCTGATCAATCCCAGTATATTATTTTCAAAGCGTTCATAGAGTATTTCCCAAGATAGGTTTTTCTAAAATACGCAAGGCTTAAATAAAGTTAACATAACTACCATAAAATTATCTTCTCTAGTGAAATGGTACCAAACCAGAAATTAATAAACAGAAAGAAAATAGAGAAGGCACAAGATTGTGAAATTTAAGCATCACTTTTTTATTTTTTATTTTATTTATTTATTTATTAAAGATTTCTGCCTCCTCCCTGCCACTGCCTCCCATTTCCCTCCCCCTCCCCCAATCAACCCCCCCCTCCCTCATCAGCCCTAAGAGCAGTCAGGGTTCCCTGCCCTGTGGGAAATCCAAGGACCTCCCACCTCCTTCCAGGTCTAGTAAGGTGAGCATCCAAACAGCCTAGGCTCCCACAAAGCCAGTACATGTCTTAAAAAATGCTGTCATTCTGCCACTCAGTAGCTTTATTGAAATTACAGTGGTTTGTCTCAAAATGACAAGTCCATCCAAGACTCTACAGGTGCTGGTACTTGCTGCCACTGGAGAGGAGAAAGGGTAGGGCTCAAAGGAAGAGAATCTGAGCACCACTCATTGGATCTGGGAGGAGTGGAGAGCCTTTCTTTCTCAAGCAGTAGATGTAGTAAATGTTCGATGAGTTTATAATTAGCGTCTGTAAGCAGTTTTTTGTTGTAAAGAAGCAGGCTGCATTCCCAGCCCGGCTAGTTTAACCCCCGAAATAACCACACTGAGATCGGTATTAATTAAGTTGCTGCCTGGCCCCTTATCTCCAGCCCCTTATTGGCTAACTCTCACATATTGATCTAACCCATTTCTAATAATCTGTATTGCCACTTGATTGTGGCTTACCAGCGTTTGTCTAACCAGCATCTGTCTCAGAGAGGAGAGCCATGGCATCTGCCACACTGCCTTCTTCCTCCCAGAATTCTGTTCTGTCTACTCCACCCACCTAATTTTCTGTCCTATGAAAAGGCCAAGGCAGTCTCTTTATTTAATCAATGAAAGTAACACATAGACAGAATAACCTCCTACACCAGTTTTTACTTATTTTTATATTTGTTATTATTTAAAAGCATATCTTTTAGTATTTATTTATTTATTTTGTGCATCCTTGGCTGCCTTAAAACCCCCTCTGCAGAACAGGCTGACCTGGAACTAACAAATTCACCTGTCTCTGCCTCCCTAGTGCTAAGATTAAAGACATGGGCCATTTTGTTTGGCTGAAAATCATTTTCAAATTTACATGTGTTTTGATCACATTCCTCCCCCCCCAAATGTTTGTCCAGCTCTTCCCCTCCTCCCTACCCACTCAACTTTAAGTTCTATCTCAAAAAATAGCCAAAACACCAATACAAATATAAATGCCTAAAATGTAAAAAAAGAAAATATAACATCACCCAAAAAGAAAATACAAAACCAAAAATGAATCAAAATAAAATTCAACTCTAACTAATTAAAAACACACACACATACAAACACACACGTGCACACACACACACACACGCAAACTGTGGCATTCATCATTTGTTGGTCAGCTACTCTGAACATATGATTTTCCCTGTGGTGTTATTTATAGCCAGCATCATTTTCATTGGAGTAGATTGATTTTCTCTGTCCCAAATGGTATAAGTGACAGTCCCATTGTTAACCTTTATCCTAGTGACTAGATTTATACCCATTTATTCATAGATTCATTCATGCATTTCAAGAAACTGTAACAGGCTAAAAACAAACCTACCACATAAAAGTAAGACAGTAGAGACAAACAGAAAGAAATGAGCCCAAGAAAGGGCACAAAAGTCAGAGAGGCAAACTTGTTCCTGTGGTCAGAAAATCCCTTTAAACAGTAAACCTGAAGGCAGCATATAAGCCCAGGGGACCTGGTGCAGAGCCATGCAGACCCTGCATGCTGCTTGCACTTCCTGGGAGTAGCTATAGCTTTGCTCATGCTGATGCAGAGGACCTTGTTTTCTTGGTGTCCTCCACCCCTGCTGGACCCTACACTCTTTCTGTGTCCCCTTTCCACAGGGTTCCCTGAGCTCTGAGGAGGGATTCATTGGAGACATCACTTTTAAAACTCAGTGTTTCAAGATCTCTCATTCTCTGCATAATGTCTGACTGTGCGTCTCTATTTTAACACAAGGCATTTTTAAACACAGTATTTTATCCATTGAGATTGTCATGCCGGAATACAAAGTTTCCCCTCACTCCTCCCAGATCTATCCTTCCTAGTTCCTAACTTTTTTTTTAAGGAACTTTTCTAGGGATGTGGTTCTGTGATTAAGAGCATTGTCTGATCTTCCAGGAGACTTGGGCTCAATTCTCAGTCCCTACTCAATTCTCAGAACCTACATGGAAGCTCACAACTGTCTGTAACCCCAGTGCTGGGGATCAGATGCCTCTTTTGCCTTCTACCAAGAATGCACGTACAGGGTGCACATTCCAATGTGCAGGAAAACACCATAAAGAGTTGATAAAAGTAAACAATGGAGATGAACACATATAAAACAACAATAAATCTTTAAAGAAAGGAAAACTTGGTACTGTAAACACCGAATGAGGCATCTTCATGATGGCTCCTGCATAGTGGGGGCAGGGAATATGATATGGATATCCCATTTGTGAAATCTTTATTATCAATCTGAGACATAAGTCAACTTTATCTTTCAGCTGGGGGCAGAGTGTTCAGCTAGGAGATATTCTGACAGAGGGTAGATGCCCGGTTTGGCTGGATGTCTGCAAATGTAGCTGCATCTCATCGTCAGAGAAGATGCTGGTAGCTTTCAGTTTAGGAAAAGTTCTCAACCTTATCAGTTCTGTTTTTAAACACCTTTGAGCTAGCTCCAGCAACTGGGACCTCCTTACACTTATAATTTTTTGGTAACTTCTATATATTTTTTCTAATATCTGAGGCTGAATGGGTGACAAAAGAAAACATTCTATCAGGTGTCTTTAATCTTTCTAAAACTATTTATTAAAAGTTGTTTAAATTCTCCCTAGTCAGTGTTGGACAGAGGGGAGAATCCACTCTCTCCAGACTGTGTAGACTGGCAGGGATCACCCTCCAGGCTCTGGGATGGTTTTTATTTATTTATTTTTCCAGATAATGTGGTGATGAGCTTTCAAGCTGTATGGACAATTTGCTGACAAGAAGACATACGTCACAAAGAGGAAGGGGTGGATTCTCTTTTCCTTCAGGTTCAGCTGAGGGGAACTTTCCACCTTCCCCAGGGCTGCTTAGAACAGACATGGAGTGGAGGGAATGCTCACCCGGGGAGCTATTTCCCCTCCCTGTGTGCACTGCACTAGATGCAGAGGGGTTTGAATGAGAAACTTGGCCTCTCCTCACCGAGACCAACCCTGACCATGAGCAGGAGGCAAGCAATGAGCCAAGCAAATGCTCCCCATCAGGGACTGAGACAGGTGGAAGGTTCTTGTTTCTGCTGTTTCTTTGTTTCTGTTTCTTTCTAGGTGACATGGCAGACCCAAAAAAGATTTGGGTCCCCAACAGAAGGGCACAGGTCTTAATCCAGGGATTTCTCATACCAGAGAAAGCACTGGTTAATAGAGAGAGCAAGAAGTGACAGAAACACAGACACCCAGATACACACACAGACTGAAGACAACCACTGATGGCCACCACACATTCATACACCTGAACAGACAGGGGGAATCCAGTGACATTTCACAAGCTCCGGACACTGGACCAGTGGCCTTGTTGGACCTCTTCCATGTGTTCAAAAAGATGTCGCCTTAACTGGATTTACCTCTGGAGGTGACGTTCTAATTTTGTTTCCTTTTGGGGTGGAGATGTCAGACTCTTCTGAAGTCTTAGGCAACAATTGATCAAAAGGAGCCCTGGGGACCTAGAACTCAGGTTGCACAGCCCCAGGACAATGGTTCTTAATCTTCCCAATGCTGTGACCCTTTAAGACAGTTTCTCATATTGTTTTTGATCCCAAAGCATAAAATTATTCTTGATACTCCTTCATAACTGTAATTTTACTACTGGTATGAATCGTTATGTAAATATCTTCTATGCAATGTATCTGGTGTGTGACCACGTTGAAAGGGCCCTTCAACCCCCAAAGGGAGTTGAGACCCACAGGTTGAGGACCACTGCCCTAGGGGCTTCTTGATCAACACAATCTTCCCTACTCCAAGGGGTTCTGAGATCTCTGTTGTCTTGAGGTCTTGCTCAGGATTCTCCGCAGGAACTTCCAGAAATGTGGGGTATTCACTAGAGAAGACGGCTCAGACATGGATTTAAGTCAAGAGAAACTCTTTATTAGCTGATCAGCAACTACATTGGGTGTTGAGATTCCAGTGTAGCAATGAGCCTCTCTTTTAAACACAAAACCATGTTCTGGATGGACATACTTCAGTTAACAGAAGAACTGATAGAAATGGAAGGACAGAAGCCTAAAGCAAGGTTAATCCATTCAGAGACTTGGATGGACTAGGCCTTTATTTGAGTTTTGGCAGGTAGTGCTTCCTTTATGCTGAGTTTTACAGCGTGGATGGAGCTTCCATCATGGAGTCAAGTGTGCCCTGGCACAGTTACCAGTGATTTCTACTGAACAACTGGTCCTCAACTTCTGTTTTCTATGATTAGTTATTAGAGGTTTTTTTGACATCTGAGATATTTGATTATTGCCAGTTATATATGCAAGAGTAAAAACTTCACGTTCCCACTAAGGAGATCCAGTTATCCTGTTTCCTATGCTAGAGATGGATAAAAACCACATTCGTTCTAGATCTCTAGTAAAAATATTTCCACATGAGAGCAATTCCCACTAAGGAGCACCAAGAGAAACAGTGATAAGAAAAGACTCTAAGCAATTAGCACAGAGTAAATAACGATGAAATGCTGTGTCCGCAGCATCCTGATTCATCTGGTGGAGGCTGATGGAGAGGGAGAGTAGTGGCACCAGATGAACTCTCACGACTTCTCTGGAGCATCTTCAACCTGCAGCAAGGAAACACATCTTTTGAAGGATCTGAGGAGAGCCTGGGTCAGTTTTCCTGGGTGCCCTGTACCAGTCATCACCACCCCACAGCCACCCTCACTGAGGGTCATTCAGTTCCCTCCTCCATCATCCCTGGGCTCTCCATCCTGGATCCTCTACTGTCTTCCTTCTTTGTTCCCTTGTCCCAGGGCCCCAGGCCCTACTTTTGACCTGGGAGATCAGAATAAAGTGGTGATGACCAGCTCTGCTTCCTGACTCAGGGCCTGACTCAGGGTGCGACTCTCCCAGTCCAACCAAGTCCATCTAAGCAGTCCAGAAGGGAGTAGACTCCAGCAATAGGATCAGTACACCAGCCTCCAGTGCAGACTCTGCTCCTGGGGTTCACAAGGCCGTTGCTGCTGCTTGATTCACTTCTATTTTATGTCTGTGCATGTGAGCCTGCATGCCTATATGTGCACTGTGTGAATGCCTGGGGTCTGTGCAGAAGAACAGGCTGAATCCTCTGGATCTAGAGCTGTATGGTTGTAATGGTCCTGTGGGAGCTGGAAACAGAACCTGTATCTGATGCATGGGCAGCAGGTGTTATTGCCAATGGACCATCTCTTTATTTATATCTTTTTTATTTTGTCTGTGGGATGGAATCCTCTTCTTTCTACATATTAAGAGGAACTACTATGTTCTTTTTTGTTCCTGCTGTCTCAACATCTGCATCATGGGACCCTCCTGATTAGGAGTCTGCTCTGAGCACCCACTGGCTGTGTTCCCTCCTCATTCCCCACTGCTCTGTGACATGATTCCTGTCCTGTCAAGGGTGAGGATGCAGAAGCTATTGCTAGCAGCTGACATGAACTCCAGATCTCCTGTCTCCTTTCGCAATAAGATGCTACAGTTGAGGGACAAGATCATGACTTCAGGAATTCACCCTTGCGTCTTCACTCCTCACCCATCTGTCCCTTACACCACTCCCAGTTCCGCCCTCAGTACCTGTCATTGCAGATATTATAAGAGAAACAGGAGGGCTAAGGCGAACAGCAAGACAAAGGCATTGGGCTGCATGGTCATGGATGAATTCTGGTCCACGTCTGGGGCAATGGTTGGTGAGGCTGATGTGAAAATACCAGCTGTGTCTTTGACCAGACCTGAAATCAAGATAAAGTCTCACCTTAGCTTCTGGGTGCTCAGGTAATTCAGGAACACAGAGCGTTCTACCCCTGTTGCTATGCAACAGCTGTTAGGTGGGTCCTGAGTGGGAAGAGAGAGAGGGCGTGTTCCCTCATGCAGCTATGGTAGGGGAAGCAGGGTAATGATGGGACCGCATCTTTCCTGCAAGCAGGAGGGGAGGCATGAGGATGACCTGTGAGGACGGTGGCAGGAAGAAGAAAGATCAGGTGAGATGTAAAACTACAGTAATTCTAGAGTGAGGACAATGCCAGGAAACAAATGGTTTCTGTGCTGTGACAGCCAGCGAGAACCACAGTGTGTGAACAATGTAACCACAATTACTGAGATAGGAGAGGGTAAGAATGGAAAAGATTGACGGGAAAAATGACCATAAACCCAAGAATTCAGAGTTTAGATTATTTCTCTCTCTCTCTCTCTCTCTCTCTCTCTCTCTCTCTCTCACACACACACACACACACACACACACACACACACTTCATCTCTAGAGAGCTTCTTCCCAGTTACCTGTACGCTCCAGCTTTTCTTCCAAGTGTGACTTGATCATCTCCTTAAGCCAGGCCTTGCAGTCCCCCTGTGAGGTCCTGTATAAGAAGTCTGTTAAATCTTTGTTTTTTTCCCACATCTCTTTTATCTGCATGGATCCAGGGTCAACTTTAGTCCACTTTCCAGTGCTTGGGTGAAGATACAGCACTTTCTGTCCATTGAGGTATAGGTCACAGGATGCATAGGAATTTCCATCGGCTCCATGTGAACAGCTTATCCTGACCTGCAGAGAGAGGGGCTCTGTGCCCATTGGAAAGGGATCAGCCTATGGCTTTGATGAATCCTGTCTACCCACCTTCCTCCCTTCCCATCCTCTGACCTTGCTCTACCTTCCACGTTTTAGCCTTGGTGCTGGACCTCTGAGGTGGGAGGGACCACCAGTGGTTCATTTCTTATCCTCCATGAAAACAATGAATGTCCCTAAACCATCACAAGTCCTGTTCTTTCCCTCAGAAGCCCATCTGATTGTTCTTTTATTAAATTGTAGCAGTGGGGATTGAACCTAGGTCCTCACGGATGCTAGGCAAGCACTCTATCACTGGGCTTCATACCCAGCACTATGGGGCCATTTGAAACTCACCTCTGATTGTATCATTCTCCGGCTTCATGAGAAGTGCTTGGTCAGTGACCTGGCCAAGTCCATCTTTCAGAGTGTCACATTGTAGGTCCCAGGTCTTTGTGACATTCAGTTTCTTCCCAATAAGACCAATGGCATGGCAGTTGTTAATACTGCCACAGTAAATGAAAGTATTTTCATTCACTTGACCTTTGACTTCCTGCCTCCACGGTCCAGACCCTGACTTGTTAACAGTGTAGGTGTAGCGAAGAGAAGCATCATCTGTGAAGGAAACATGCAGTGAGGTTAGGGATGAGGAGCAGGGGCTCAGAGACAGTCTCTGCCTGTGGAACAGGAAAGTCCTCTGGAAAGGGAGACTTTAAAAATATAGAAATAAGTAAATAAAATGAAACTTGAACCTGCATTGTGTTAAGTAAAGTATAGTCCATCATTCTCTCTTGTTTGAAGATGCAGGTCAAGGTGTGGCCGACCCCTGCTCTTCATCAGGACAGTTCTCTAATCTGTTATCACATGATCATGCTGTAGTGGGCCTTGTCGGTGATGGCAGAAAAATTAAGAATTTGTTTTCTGGATCTTTCCAGGATTCATCAAGAGGCCCTAAACCCATGCCCTCATCCTGTCATTTCTAGCTAACCCAGAAGTCATAGGCTGAATAGGACCCACTGATTCCCGGGAAACATGAAGCTTGCACAGTACATTTGAATGCACTCTGGAGGGATGGGCGTCAATACTGGTACATGGGGTAGACCCTAATCTGGGGTCAGAAGAGTGATGGAGACCAAATCTGCTGTCCCGTTCATCAGCTCGCTGCCTTCTGAGCCAGTTACACTAAATGTAGACTCGAGTGTTTAATGCAGGATAGGTATAGTAAGGCTTCCCTGGTGGGAAATTTCAATGCCTGCCATTTACAGAAAATGAAACAAAAGAAAACAAACAAACAAAACCCAAACCTATTTCTGCCTAAAGGAACACCATTAATTGATGCTGTTTCCCCAGGAGGTAGACTACATGAGCCTAGGATGCCAGGGCAGAGCCTTCCACATGTCCCTACCCAGTACCATTGCTGGAATCCAGTATGGTCAGCCCTGAGTAGCTGAGGTGCTAATCCACAGATTGTCCCCTGGTGGAAAAGGGGCTGAAAGGCACTTTATGGATGGGGAGTGGGAAAGGGTATATGGACAGGGAAGGGCGCTGAGCTGGCTGGTGGTTGATGAGTCTCATGGAATTGAAGCTGAAGGTTGGTGGTAGAAAGTTGTAATCCTAGCACCTGACAGACCTAGAGAGAGAAGGAATCGCTGCAAATTCTTCAGCGTGGGCTCTGGTGTAAAGTCCTGCTGGAAAACAAAGCAACAGCAAGAATAAATGGGTAAAAAGTGAGAGAGAGGGTGGTTGATAACGTTTTCCCTGAAGCATCCTTTGTCATCTGCTGGAATAGTACGGTGGAATGATGGGAAAGAAAGTTCCAGGGCATAGAGGCTCAGGAATGGAGGAGGGCTCCTGAGGAATCCCCTGGGAAGACAGTCTTCAGAGCACAGACTGCCTTCAATCCGGGGGAGCTGTCTGAGCTTCTTGGCGGGGTCTGGCACTGTGTGCATCACCTCCGGACCTCCTGACTCGGCTTAGCCTTCCCGTGGACACCAGTATGACAGAATGCTCATGGCGTTATGGTAACTTTTCCCCTCCTCCCTTGAACATGGTAGGGGCAGGGCAAGGGAAGGTGCGCTGCAAGCGCCACATTTCCGCAGGCTCTGCCTTTTCTGCAAGTTCTCAATTCTGAGGATCTGGGAGCTTCCCAGAGGAGGACTACTACTTTGGGATTCAATGGCAACTTCCCTTTCCTCCCCATTCCCTTCCTGGCACCCCTCAGGTTGAATTGCACCAACTCACCAGCGGGTTGCAAGGACCGGAAACAGATCAGTAGAACCAAGAAGCACAGCTTCTTAAAAGTAGTTCTCGGCAGCTGCATTTTTTGCCATACCCTGAGCCACAGGTTTAGTAATCAGAGTTGTGGAGAGAAGCGGTGAGGCCTCAGTGCCGCCTGGCACAGGGTTCACAAAAGTGAATGAATTCTCAGTGGGGATTCTGGGCGCGCTGCACGGGACGCGCTCCCTCAATTTATAAGCGGACTGTGAAGGCAGAGACTGTGACCTGAGTGATGCAGGCTGTTGTCCAATCCCCAGGCTTCTAATCATCCCTGTCCCTCCCAGACAATCAATCATGGTTCAGCCTTCTAAATTCATGACAACTGACCCGCCCCAAAACCAAAGTCCTTCCCTAAATTTTTTCTCTTGCCGCGTGACACCGGAAAGGGGCTTGTGTTCCTAAGAGCAGTCACGCCAGAAGAAACTTGGAGTCACTCCCAGGAGTTTCTTTCCGGAGACTCACACACCTCCTTTAGCTTCAGCCACACCACCAGTGTCCCCTCGCCACCCCCACCCCCGCTGCCCGCTGCTGTCTGAATCCCCTTCCAATACTCAGCTGGTCCTTCTGCACTTCCCATCACCTTCCCCCTCCCTACATCTCAATCCCAGACTCATTTTCTCCACCAGGTTCTTTCCTCTCAACCCTGTCCTCCCCCCTCATGTTAATTGTTGTCCTGATTCTTGGTCCAGGGACCCAGCACTCCCCATCCCCTTACAGCCTCAGTCATTCCCCCTCCCCCACCTCCATTTCCTTCCTTTATCCCCAAACCCCCACGGAGGGAAGACAATTACTATCTTGTCAGCAAGGCTGTGCTTTTCTCCTTAAGCCTGTGACATTGGAACCTCAGAAAGTTCAGAAATCACACAGTTTATTCCAATTAGGAGCAGATTCTGGGACTTTGTAGAAATAGCTCAGAGGTTATGAGCACTGACTGTTCTTCCAGAGGACCCATGTTGGAATTCTTTCCCCTCTTCTGCATTGTGCCCTGAGCCTTAGGTGTGGGATCTTTTGAAGAAGCATCCCTTGAAATTGGGCTCCACAACTCTGCATATTGATTGGTTATGGTTTTCTATAGAGGTCTCCCATCCTCTCCCAAGAAAAGTTTCCTTGATGCAGGTAAAGAATACATTTACCCTGGTGTTTAAGGATAAGTCTTTATAGATTGCTGTTAGAGATTATGCTGATTTGGTAGATTAGTGGTTGTGGATTCTCCTCTAATAACCATGACTTCGGCACTTATTAGTTAGCTATGTTTATTATTAGTTTCCAGTACCATGCAGGTATGATATCCATCTTGCTGAGTAGGTCTTAAGTTCAGTGAGAGAGCTGCTGGTTACCACCAATGCATGTGTGCCAGTTCTGTACCTATAAGGGTTATCATGTTGTGCTGCTCATTGATGTGGTCCATAGGCATTGATTGATGGGTGGGATAGTGGATGCCTCTCTCCTTTGGAAGTTTACATGGCACCTTTTAGAACTAAGAAATCTAGTCTCTCATGGAGGTGACTTTAGGTCAGTTGCAGTTCAGGGACCTCGGGGCCCTGTTTCTAAAGTGTCTTCATCAGTAGGGTCTTACGTTCCAACTCTGCTGGGTAAACAAGGGTAACAGCAATGGGTTGTATGTTTTGGGAGTTTTTAGCCCTGACCAACAACTCAAAAGAGGGTCCTTTTGCCTAGTATTGGGGTTTTGTTAGGTAGTCTCTTGGAGGAAATGCCATCAACACACATGAAAAAATGTTCATTAAAACTATATGTGCAGAGTTATATGCTAAATTACATTTGCTTTTTTAGATAAATAGTTATTGTTAGGAGCCCTTATGACTTTTCCAGCTATCATATTGTTATTTTACCTCCCTTGCTCCTTCTCCTGTATTTGCCTTCCTTCACCTTCCTTAAGGAGACCTCATTTTCTGTGTTTCCCTAGCAATGCAATTGTATCAGTTCTGATATTCCCCTTTACCCTCCTCCCACCTTCTTCTGCACTGCCCTCCCTCTCCCTCCCTAAGCCCCCATTCCCTTGTCCCTATCATATTATCTAGCTCTTAGGAGGTCTTAGTAAGCTCAAACAAAGACTCTAGTTCTGCCCACTCTTATCTGTGTTACACTTTTTGGGTCCTCAGAATCTGCAGCCCTCCTTATCTGTTTTCATGTGTGGGGAAATTACTAACAACCCAGATTTCTTTGGAACCAGTGAGAGTAGCATGGCCCTGAAAGGTTTGTCAGTGGATACCTCCCCTGTAACTTCCTCATGGGAGGGAAGGCAGGGAACAAGGCTGAATACCACAGAGATCAAGCTGGGGCCTCCAAATGAAATGATCCATGAGAGCTAATCATTGACAATGATGCTGACTAAATCAATCAAAAATTTTGAGACTTTTTAAATAATGGACAGAACGAGAACGGGCTTAAGCATCTAAAGACTCTAGATGACCAAGCTGAAGTATACAGTGTTTTAAAAAGACAAAATCTCAATGACATCAGTGCTCAAGGTGCGGGATTACTGCAGTAAGGTATTTGACATGGCCTAGTAATATTAGTTTTTTTTTTCAAAGCTCAGTAGTATTTCCCAGACACTCCACAACTGTTTATCATTGATTTTATTTTAGCTGTTTTAGGTTTATGTTTAGTCTTGCACAAACCCCAATTATTTTGGTTAATATATCTGAACCATAGTTAGGATTATGGACTGTGGAAAAGCATTGCCAAGGTAAATGTAGCTCTTAGAGAAAGAGTGAGAAGTATCTAGGCAGCCACAGAAAAAGTTGGGATGACCCCGCTGCTCCCCTCAGACTGGGGCTCTGCGCCTCTATCCGCTCCCTCTCTGGCTTGCTCGAGGCCGACCGGCCCCCTAGGCGCCGCAGGAGGCTGTGACAGCGGCGGCACAGAGGTGCGCGGAAGTGGTCGGCCAGGCAACCGCGCGGCGGCGGAGCGGGCGGGGCTAGGCGCTGGTCCCCTGCTCCTGGCGCTCCCCGCCGCCGCCAGGAGCGGCTCATCTGGCACCCGGTATCTGGGCAGCAAGATCAGCCTCATCCCCAAGGCGCAGATCCGCTAAGAGGGCATTCTCTACACCAACGACACCGACAATTCCACCGTGGCGCTCGCCAAAGTAAGGTCCTTTGGCACTGAAGACAGTCCCCCAGATAGGCCTGCTCCCCCAAGAGAGGAAATTTATGAGTACATCATTTTCCGGGGAAGTGATATCAAAGATATTACTGTGTGTGAACCTCCAAAAGTTCAGCACACACTCTCTCAGGATCCTGCTACTGTTCAGTCCTCGGCCTCCACCTCACCCTTCCAGCCCTATGTGTCTTACAGCCCCTTCAGAGGGATGCTGCCTTGTGGCCAGCTGGCAGCCAGCTCCCTGCTCAGCCAGCAGTGTGCTGCCTCCTTAGGTCTAGAGAAGTTGGTAAGACCTCCAGCCTTAGCCGCTGCTTCCAGCCCTAGTACCTCTCCATCTCCACAGCCGATTTCAGAGCTTGACATGTCCTCAGAGCCACCTCAGCTCACTTCCAAGGGAGCTGGTTTTCAATCTACCCCAGTCGGCAAGAGTCCCATGGTGGAACTAGCTGTCCAGACCAGTTCTGCTGTTAACTTGAATGCTAAGAACCTCTTACCCACCAAGGTCACCTCGGGGACACAACTCAATGGTCGCCAGGCTCAGCCTAACAGCAAGACTGCCATCCATGTAGTCCAGCCGGCACCTGTGCACACTCAAGGGCAGGTGAATGATGAGAACAGAAGACCTCCACGGAGGCGGTCAGGCAACAGACGAACAAGAAATCGTTCCAGAGGGCAAAACCGTCCAACTAATGTTAAGGAAAACACAATCAATTTTGAGGGTGACTTTGATTTTGAGAGTGCAAATGCCCAAACCGAGAAGAGCTCGATAAAGAATTGAAGAAGAAGCTGAATTTTAAGGATGACAAAGCTGAGAAGGGGGAAGAGAAGGACCCTACTGTGATGACCCAGAGTGAAGAGACTCCTGCTGAGGAAGATCTTAGGGGGCCCAACTGTTACTATGACAAATCCAAGTCCTTCTTTGACAACACTTCCTCTGAACTCAAAACAAGCTCTAGGCGAACAACGTGGGCTGAAGAGAGGAAGCTGAACACTGAGACCTTTGGGGTATCTGGGAGGTTCCTTCGGGGCCCGCAGTTCACGTGGTGGATTCCGAGGAGGCAGAGGCAATGGAACAACACGGCACAACCCCACTTCCCACCAAGCTGGGACTGGCCGGGTGTGAGGGTGCAGTACAAGGTCCTGAAGAAGACAGAAGGAAATGAACGTTACAGTCACCGGGAGAAGTGATCTTGTTTACCAAGTCTGGATGCTACTTAGCTACTTATCTTTGGACTTAACCTAAACTTGGCCGTGGTCTGATTAGAACCACTTGTTTTGGGGGAAGTATTTTGTGGGTGACCTTGTGAAGGTTTCTTGACCTACATTTTCTTCTTGGCTGCACACAGCCTAATTGTAAAGTTTTGGTATTTTGCAAAAAGGTTTTTTTTTAATATTTATTTATTTATTATGTATACAATATTTTGTTTGTGCAGGCCAGAAGAGGGCACCAGACCCCTCTACAGATGGTTGTGAGCCACCATGTGGTTGCTAGGAATTGAACTCAGGACCTTTGGAAGAGCAGGCAATGCTCTTAACCTCTGAGCCGTCTCTCCAGCCCTGCAAAAAGGTTTCTATAGACAAAGGCTCAGTCCTCACGTTGTAATTTTTTTTTTAAATGATAGCTTTGACTCTTAAAACAGAACCAAATTTTATTTGGCACATGTGGTGTCCAAATGTCTCTGCAACCCATCTAGCCTCTGGTGCTACTGGCCTGCTACCCCAGCTGCTAAAAGTTGGAAGTCTCAGGAGCCAAGCAGGGCCAGCACAGGGTGAACCATTCATATCGGGTGGGAGGGCCAAGGGCAGTGAAGGGGGGGGGGGTTCATGGATCATGTTGTGTAATGAACCAGTGATGTTCAGTGCTTGAGGCTGACAGAGGGATGAGTGAAGAAGTTCATGTAGAGCCTGGCTTCCACAACTACT